ACAACTCACGGGCAGAGGCCACAGCTGGTCCCATCGCACTCTGGACTGAGGATGAGGTTAGGTGTGCACTTGGGAGGATGAAGGTTGGGAAGGCGGTTGGTCCAGATGGGGTGCCAATCGAGGCATGGAAGGCGCTCGGAAGAGTACGGTATAAGGTGGCTCCAGGACCATCGGTCCCATCTCCAAAGAGAAGAGGGACGCGATGGACTTCATCGACCACCGTGGGATTGAGTCGTCGGCGCATACAGTGGAGCTATATGAGTAGCTGGTCGATGCGGGAGCTGCTCCCGGTCCACCGAAACAGATTTAGGTTTATGATCGAAAGACCCACAACTGATGCCATCTTTATCGCCAGGAAGTGATGTAAAGGTATACAGGGTGGTCCAAAATTATGAGGAGGCGCGCGCGGTCATATCCACTTTTTTCCGAGTCGCTCCATTTTCATCTCCTTTTCTGTGCACTATGTGAAGGGTACAATGTCTTCTTCCTTTGAAACCAAATTTCATGCAGTTCTCAAAACTAGTGAAATAACAACATCACCTTACGTCAGTCCTCAAATTGAACTCACTAAGGGCTCTGGCACGTTACATCTAGCGGCAGTCTAACGTATCAGGAAGCTCTTGCAACAGTTCAACTCTTCAATAAGTTTGGAACCACCACAGATGGAAAATTCGGAGACTCGAAAGTTACAGTTACCACCAGGACAATTATCAGATGCAGAAACTCTCCCCTTGTCGACTTTCGTACTCCCAAATGAAAAAATTGATGTGAAAACCCAGCCAGACACTCTAAAGACTCCACATCTGTAGTGGATAGAAAGCCACTTGAGTACCTACTTGGGACTTTTACAGGACCGAGCACCCAAGAATAAAGCAAAAATTCTCTAAAAAGCGATTTTTCGAGTTCGTTGCTTTCGAAGAATTGTTACAATGGAACCTTCCACCTAATAGCTCTAGATTTCTGTATTTCACACCCTGGATGCAAGCGCAAATAAATGCCCCACAAAACTTTGATTCCCTGAAGAAAGAGCAGAAGGCCTGGAAACATTTTGACACGCCTCAGTTGCGTGCCACCGCACGCGCCCCCCCTTCATCTGAAGGCTCGTGTAAACGGGCAGGTGGCAGATCTCAATTCTATTCTGGAATTACTTTGAGATAAGAGTTACAAACACTTCCCTGAAGTTTGTTTGTTCCATCAAGCTACTATGCGTTTTTAACGACACAATGTCTTGGTCCTCATAATTTTGGACCACCCTGTAGAGAAAAGTGCTCTCAGTGCTACCTAGCCTTCCTCGACCTGGAGAAGGCGTTCGACCGGCTACCGCGAGCAGTACTATGGAGATCGCTCAGGGAACGAAACGTGCCAGAACACCTGATCTCGCTGGTGAAGGACATGTACGAAGGAGCCAAAGCACCCTCAGCCTAACAAAGGAGGTAAACATCACGGTTGGGGTGCACCAAGGGTCAGCTCTGAGCCCGTTTCTCTTCCTAACCAGGGTGAAAATCGTGTCGAGGAAATAACCGCCTCTTTACGACCCCCCTCCAAAACATGGACTCTGATACGACCCCTTTTTGTCCTCTGCACATCCGGTTTCATATCAAAAAATGCTAGTTTCAGATGTGCGAGAGGGACGCAGCGCCGCTGCCACGCAAATGCGGCTTGATCCAAATGCTAGATTCAATTCTGCTCAGATTAGGTTCTCCTTTAAAGACATTTAACCATTGGCCGGAAAGTAGAACATTGAAGGAGGTACTGCCCCTACACAGTTGAACAGTCTCGCGCTCCAGTATAGCGGCGCTAACTACCCGCGATCGCGTCGCGCTGTGCCTAGAGCGCGCTAGTTGGAAAAATCGTCAAATGTACCCCCTATTTAAAGGACTATAACTTTCTTCATTGATAACCATTTCAGAAAGTGAAGGCAGCTTTTGAATGCACAAGACTTCTAGTTTCTAAATTGTGCTGAGCGTTTTTCTAAGCACGCCTATTCTCGAGAGTGGGAGACGTCGAGAATTGTCGAGGAAATTGAAATTTACATGCGAGTTCCCACTCTTTGGAAGACAGTAGCTGTCTTCATTGGCAATGCTTTGAAAATCGGAGGAAAGCGTTGTAAAGTAGAAGATTTACGCTTTCTGATAGGTGCTCCAGTTGTTTCGAACGCTTTCTAGTTCGCGAGAAATCTGCGTCGAGGAAATGTCAAGGAAATTTTCGAAGCCACTCGAAAACTCTATTACTCCCTCGCCGTAGTAGGGAACTTCTTTGAACACCTTCAAAATGCTTCTGTACACGTCAGTTCGATGGAGTAAATTGAAATGATGCACTTGGCGCAGATCCATTCCGTTCTTGTATGCGCCATGCAGTGACCCCACTCGGAGTCATTGGGAAGGTGTTTTGTCCTAGTGACGACTTGCTTAAGCACACCAAAAGATATTTCCAGTATTAACTAATTAGGATAACTCTTGTGGTCATAGTGATGTCTGATCATTCCTTTATTCAAATCGCTTCCTTTCCAACCCGTTCTGATGAATGACACGCTTGCGGTTGCAGGATCTGATGATGCCAAGAAGGCTGCGAATCTGCCTGTTTTGAACTTTCTACCAAGATGCTGTTCCTCCACTAAGTTCTCGAAGCATGTACATCATTCTAGAGTAGATACTCGCTGCCCTTTCCCTACGATTCTTTTGCAGGTTGCCTTCCTATGCCACTACGAACCAAACCAACAACCACTTTCCATTTAAATTTTAATTCCAGACAGTTGTAAGATATTATTTGCATTAGGCTAACTACAACACTTGTGAAACTAATGATGACAGCAAATAAGTGGCAGCAGCACCGTTGTGTCCGTTGATGAACCTTTTGATTACGACCCCCTCCCAACTCTCATCGGAGCAAATACGACCCCCTGTCGAGGATTTCCTCGACCGTTATTCACCCTGTTCTAACACTGAATGTCAAGGAGAAGAAGCTCATGAAGGTACCACTAAAGACAATCCTCTACGCTGACGACATCGCCTGATAGCAGAAGAACTACAGGGCAAGGTGCAGAAATGGCAGAAAGTCCTGGCAGAAGGTGGGCTCCGGCTGAATGTCAAGAAGACCAAGTTCCTGAGCTCTGAAGAGGGTGCAGAGCCGATCGTAGACGGCCATGGTGAGACCATCGAAAGAGTGGAGGACTTCAGATACCTCGGGAGCGATCTGGCAGCCGACGGAAGTGTGGATCAGGCAGTGAAGGCACGAATCAACGCGGCCTGGATGAAAGTGGAGGGAGTCCACTGGGATCCTCTGCGATCGAGTACCAGACAGTGTGAGGCCTGCGATGCTATACGGCAGCGAGTGCTGGCCCCTGAACAAGAACCACGAAAGGCAGCTTCACTCCGCTGAGATGAGGATGCTGAGGTGGGCCTGCGGCTGGACGCGGCTGGACAGGGTCAGAAACGAGGATGTCAGAGCGGTCATGCAGACTGCCCCTGTCCAGCTGAAGGTGAGAGCAGCACTGCGATGGTATGGGCACGTGCTAAGGAGGCCACAGGATCATCCGATAAGAAAAGCGATGGACTTCGAAGTGCAAGGCAAGCGACCGCGAGGAGCCCCAAAGAAGAGGTGGAGAGACGTGATCAAGAAGGACCTAAGTGAAGTCATGGCCACAGCAGAGATGCCCTGGACAGAGCTAAAGTGGCGACGACTGACAAAGACAGCGGACCCTGCGACTGCGCGGGACTAACGCTAGGGAGAAGAAGAAGAAGATTAAAGGTGCTTTTTTTAACAGTGGATTCCCCCTCTCATTTTACACCTCTCCCGAAATCCTCTTCTTTTTTCTTTAGGTTGTAGCAGGAGCGCGCGCAACTATTAAAACACAAGTTCCTATTACCTACAGCGCCTCCAACTCCTTTCGAACAGACCAACGCATTGCTCAATGTTTACCCCAGCACTTACGACCTCTTCCTATCAGCGGGCCAAATACGACTCCTATCACGTGCTGATTCCTAAACGAACGCGCGAGCGCGTGCGCTTGATCCTATCTGTTGACCGTCCTCTAACAACTTCCTATTATGGAGAGTGGTGAGGCCAAACTGAGCTGCACATTCTAGAAATTGGCTTTACTGCAGATTAAAATATCGTTAGTAGCTATATTTGGAAGCCACGAAAAACGACTGCTCGTGCCAAACAAATGTGTGCAGCAACCCATGAATAATTTAACCAGTTCACTATCCAAGCCTCGGCGTGTTGGCAAAAATCGCTCCTACTCCTCGACACTCGTTTGCCCTGCACTTTGAGCTAGAAAAACCTGACCATCTTGTCTCTTGCTACATAGATTGAAGCGTGTGGATCAAACCCCTTCTTTCTATCTTTCACAACTTTTCATGAGGACGCCATACTTCACCGTTCTATTCCAATGTCGAGAAATCTCCTGAACGTTAAGCCCTGCAAAGTATTGCGCGAAGTGCTTTACATCAAACAACATCTCCTAGCAGTTTTCTTATTGTGTTCCTCTACATGATCGTGGTCTTCGAAATTATGTAGACCATTGAAGCTTCAATCGTGCTCTTCGCAGACGTTTTGTTGGTTATTCTACAATGCAAAAACCGCGTGAATGCCTAGCTATGGCCTCTTGCCAATTTCAGCTTCAAACTGATAGGTTGCCTCGGAATGGGCTACATCGGCGGATTACGATCTTTGTAGCAACAAACTGCATCGTACTCTTATGGCACTGAAATGTGTCCAAGAAGCCCGACACAAGTAAAGAACTATATTCGCAAAAGGCAACAACAAGCACGAACCAGAAATGAAAAGAAAAAACAGATGACAAATCTGTGGAGCACAATAACATACAGAATACAAGTGCATAAAACCATTGTTTTGAGGTACCTGAATTTTTATAAATATCTGGATCAGATTGGAAAGTACAACTCTTGGTAGTGTACACACCTTGAAGCGAGGAGCTGCTTTCGCCAGCTTGTTCTTGCAATTTCTGCTATTTGACATTTTTCACATTGGCATGTATTGAACACAACTGTTGTTTTAGGATTCCTGATCATCTGCTGCGCCAAGATATTTGCGTCTACTTACAACTTCTCCCCATCTGCGGCTTTTTGTCTTCAACTGTTTTGCTGCTGAGTTTGGCCGTAGACAGACTGATGTCGTTGCGAAAAATCTAGTGAGTCTTGTGCAAATTTATTTGACAAGATTAGCAGGTACATTTGCGCGTTTGTAACACCGACAAGCGAAAATTATCCAATCTGCTTCCGACGGGCAAAGCTTAAGCCATTGAATCTAACTTTGTAGGTAATAGCACCCTCGTCGGGCGAGTTCAGTGGGCCTCATTTGCAGTGTGACGCGAACAGTGGTATATAGAGCTATTTACAGATGAAAATATGTGATTGGCTCTATCATACCATTCAAAATGGAGGTTGACAAAGATTTGAGAGGTCGGAATAAAGGTGCCGAGCGCGTTGTGCTTTCAACCAGAACAATAATTCAGAGTCTGCGCACGAGTCATCAGCCAACACCTCGACGAGACTGTACACGATTGTACATCTCCGTTTCCTCGCCACATAGGAAACTGCTGCGCCCAACCCTCTCCCTTTTCCGCGCTCGTCTTTCCTAAGTCATTTGCATTTATTCTATATATATATATATATATCATACCATAGCGCAGCTATAAACGACTTCATTCGTAATGTTGTCGAATTTTCTTTGGTATAGCTGAGGTTTTCCGAGCCTGACGTTTCCATTTTTCTCTCTTGCTTTATTGTCATAAGCAAGTAAATAAAAGAAGAGTAGGAATAAGTAAACAAAGTCTATATGGAGCAAACTCTTCGTTTCAACTGCCAAACCAGCTAACAAGGGAAGGCGTCCAGGTCGCCTTGGTCATTCAAGAAGAGATGAATACGCCCAGATTGCTGATCTCAAATCTACCTTCCAAATCTGCTAAACGATTCTCTGAACGGAGTTATGAAGCAAAACAGCGCAACGGTAGTGGTCGGAGACTCACAGTCAAAACGTCGTAGGATCGGTCCCTTTATCGTAATCACTGTTTTGCATTCTTTACGAATCCAGCTAATCGGGTATTAGAAGCCCTTTGGCTGGATTCCTAAAAATTGAAAACAGATAACACGACAAGGGAGTTGCCCGCAAAATTGCTTCTGTCCCGCGAGACCAAAAAACCCTTTAACGCCTTTTGACTGCATCACAGCTGCCGGCTCTTTTGTTCCAAACCTGTGGCCTTCGTCCTGAGAAAGAATGTATTTGCTATCCGAGTTTGTGTCTATTAGAGGAGTAATATTCTTCGTGAAGTAAACACGTAAAATAAATGTATGTAGTTTCAGTTTGCTGCTCGATAAAAAGTACAGAGTTGCTTACACGATTGCACAAATCACAGTTGTGCTTTTATATATTTTCTTTGTTGGGATATGGACACTCATAAAGAGAACCACGACCAAGTGAGTGATTTCCAAGAGCCTACATTTTTTGCTCGAAATTTTCAGATATGGCTCTGAAAATGTCAGGTCCTTTTGTGAAGCAAGTAGTGTGATCGATTTCTATAAGTTTACCTATTCTAGTACATTAATATTGTGTGAGTCTACAAGATCAACTTTTTTGTTGATATGCGCTCCTCCTGATATTTTGTAAAGGAATTTTCCAGGAAAATCTTGAAATTTTGTGTGCTATCTCAGGCGTCCACGTTGGATCAAAAGCAAAAGCACATGAGTTATCGGCCAACTCATGCGCTTTTGCTTTTGATGACTGGTCGCTGGGATCCGTTTTTCATGAGCGTCACTCAACGTGTTAGAATGAGTGCTACTCCAGGGATCAGTCGCAACTGATATGTAATCACATTCTCAAATCCACGGCACGTTGTTGATACAACTGAAATTCATTCATGAAATGGTCCACGTAAGTGTCACCCTGAGGCCTCCGGTATATGCGCTATATGTCATTGGTCGAGGCGAGAAGGAAGACTAGAACTAGACCCACATATGTGAAAAGGAGGGGTTTGGCAAGCCGAGGTCCTCAGGCAGCCCTTTTTGAGCCACTTCACAGAGGCCCGGCTGCATGCTCGAAACGGGTTATCAACTACAGCACAGCCTGAATATCTCAACAGACGATAGTTATGAATTCATATTGATTGAGGCTATTCAAAAACTTTTCACTTCCGCTTGGACGGATCTTACAGGGATATATCCTTACCCGGATGACATACTTCTTAATTCCATCTCATACATTATCTTTGTCATTAAAAACTTGACAGGAGCGCGCTTTGAAATTCCATTTAAGATGGCATTTGGTGAATCTTTCACTTCCACATGTCTGGAAACGAATAGAAAAAAAGAGTGGTTTCATCACTGAGCTAGAAGATGTTGACAGTTTGCGTCGTTCCCGTCCTGCTAGTTTTCTGGAAGTTCCTGTAGTTATTATTGCTGAGTTTCTCGGTCGAGAACTAACAGTTTGCGTCGTTGCTGTCTTATTAGTTTTCCTGGAAGTCTCTGCAGTTATTGCTGAGTTCCTCGGTCGAAAACGTGATTATCCACGGAAAAAAATCAAGGAATTTTCTCGTATAGCATACATTATACGAAGTTATACGAGCGCCTGAAGCGCTTCAAATTTTTAGAGTCTTTTTCCCTATGCACATCAGGGAGGGCCCGTTCTTCTGAGATTTTTAGGTTTGTATGGTGGGCTTGTCACTCACAACTCCTTGCAAGCTTAATGTACACGAATTCGATGTCATTTTTACTATCCTCCCGCTGAAGTGCACCGGATACACCTTTCGGTAATATACCACTTGGTTTCAAGATATGGAGACCTCCGCAAAGAAGATCATCGGGTTTCCCTCACTTCATAGTCGCGTCGCACGGAGCACAAACGAAGCACATCCTTTAGTTTGCAATGAGTTCGTTCAGTAGCGCGCCGCCCGGTGGGTTTTGGATGATGTGGAGCCATTCACCAAATAAAGGAAGTGAAAACAGAAAAGCATAGTATAGTATGTAACAGACTATGACGAATCGAAAATCTAGTCAAGAACCCGTGCTCGATGTGGCGCATATGCGCATCCTGATGTTCAATCTTGTCATTATGCTTGGATCTCACGCTGTACAACCCAGGCCTCGCACCAGTGACTTACCTTCACTAGAGAACGTTTTTAATGGAAGACCACCTTGGTTCTATAGAGCGTCATAAAATCTTTTCGATAAGGTCACGCTGATTTGCAAAATAACATCGAGTACGTTTCGATGCGTTGCCTTGTCGGATGATAATTGTTCTGGTTTATAGTAATTGGAATCGAATGAAAATAGTGTCTAAAATAGACATACAGGCCGAAAATCATGAGACAACATCTTGTGTTACCTTATTTATCCATTTGCTCTATGCAAGAAGGAAGGGACAAGCTCTCCTAACGAAGTGTTTGTGTTTAGAAGAGTTTTCTGCGTCATAACTGCTCCTTTGACCGGCAACATTTACACTGTGTGTATGATGTCTATTGCAGTGATTCGATATATTGATTGTCATCTGTTACATAGTGTTCATCCGCATTTTGAAGAAAGTTCAAATCAGTGAGTCTTTAAATTTTCAATTTACTGTTTTCGGGGCCTAACACAACCTCTGAAAAGGAAACACTTTGTAATTAGGCACGTGCCACGCTTGTGTTAAAGTGTTGCGACCACGACGACATTTTCAGTGACAGTGACAATTCCATGAGCATAGATATCAGCAGATCACATTGACGACGCAGAGGCAATAAGGGCATGTGCTTTTAGAGGGCTAAGCACAGCTCTGCCACGAGTAAACGTCCAGGTTCTGCTATTCTGGAGAAGGTCAAGGAGGAGTCATCCAAAAGAAGGGTTCCCGTCCGAAAGGAAGCCTTTGGGAACAAAGCCTCGAAGTAATAGCGTATTTCACGCTGCAAAAGCTACGCAAATACTGCATTCTCCCCAGTGAGAACAAGTCATCATCCTGGATTGAGCGGAAGAAAAGCAGCTTTGGGTGTGGATGACTACAACCCTCTTCACGGCATGACCACTATATATTCACCCTAACGAAAGAATGACGAATACCATCCCGTGCTGGTCATGGCTATCATTAAAATAGGAGTATAGCACTTGAGACCTGATCTTTCTCAAAAGTGATCCTAGAATCCAGATGCGTGAAAGGATGATTCTCAGCTGAGTAGAGGTAGTCAACTGAAATCGTCCCGTCGATGTCTCACTTGAATTTTTCTATGTTGCTGCTTCTATATTGAAGATATACATTTCCGCATTTATACTGGCATTGCCTTACGCTCATATTTCACAGATTACGACACTATGAGGAATATTTACCGGTCACTTCATCGCCATCAGTCTTGCAGTTCGTCTTCGGTTCCTTGAGCACAACTGTCGTCGGTTCATTAGTTGAGGCTCTTCAACTGAACATTGAGAGGGCAGATGTGGATCTGGTCGCAGGACTATTTATAAACTCTTCTTGTTCTGTCAACTTCTTCATACTTTATACCACAAGGTGAGAAATATCATGTGGAGTGAGCAACTGTTTATCATTTTGTATGTGGAGAATATTCCAATTGTTTTTCTGATAAGCAGTGATTGGTAAAAGGTTGCTCCGAAATATTAATTCAGCAAAGATTACCGTCGAATCTTCCAAGAACACCTATTTTGTACGCAGTTCAAAAGCAATGACGTGGCACGCGGATCAGATATTTTTACAATGGTGTCTCAAGCACGTGTCATTGCCCCTCCATCGAGCGCCAAGCCAAGACGCGTCACAGTTGCTTGATAGATCCTTTGCGAAAGCATGTTGCCACTGCATACTGTCTTGTTCCGTCAAATGGATAAGTTCTGTTATGTGTATGTGAAATGTTGTTTCTATACATTGGATCTTTCAAGTTTATATGGGATAAATCCCGCGCTTTCATGATTCTTTGTCTAGCAGAACCGAATGTCTGTGCATAAAACAACTGGATCAGAAACTCTTCCGACTCCTCCACGCGAATCTTTATTCATACCCCCTCATATTTTTTTCTACATCCTCTGCACTGAACGAGGTAGCGATGCTTTGAACTCCAAAAATCCTTTCAGATGTACAATATCGATATGTTTCGGTGTGACACCGACTTTGGTAAACTATATGATACAAAATCCTTGAGCGCAGGCATTCTTTCTTGTAGAGTCGCAGAGGAATGGGAATGCATATGTCACCTCCCATAGCTTACAAATGCGGCCATTCTGATTCTAGTAGTTTGTGTAGAATTCTAGCTCTATGGCGTGAAGCTACACTTGATCGAACATCAAAGACGTGACTTCACAAATTTGCACGATCTCGCGTTTCTCTGTCTCGGTTCGGTTTGAATAAAGTGTTGGACAAATATAAGGAGACTGTTGTGCTTAGCGCGTGAGCTTCGACTTTCTTAGCTCTTTTGGCCACCTGGGAATCACTTAAGCGGTGCTTGTGATCTCACGTTTCATCGCATTTGCTCCGCTAGCAAATGTGATCAGCAACAGATACAATCGTACAACTGTCCCGTTGACATAATTTTTAGGCAAGTGGCATATAAGGCAGTGGTTTGTCTGGTATAAATTTACAATTAGTGATCTACCTGAAGCGGAGTCTCGAATGGGAGTTTATTGAAGCTATGGCTCCTCGTGTGCCTCATCGTACGTCGAGATGAGAAAATACGTTCCAAGAAAAGCAGGAGGATCTGAGCAGGATATATATTTGCTCTGAAACTAGCTTCAATATGCTTTCCCATTAGTTACTTACAACTGCTTGCCATGATCACCTCATTGCCGCGCGCTGACGAATTACATGTATGCAATTCTGTGCAGGAATTCTGCCCAACAGTAAAATACGCTATTCATCAAAACCACATCGACGAGCAGGACTACGATACGATAACTTCGATATGATAATCGGAAATTTTGAAAAAAGTGCTGCTGGAATGGCGCACAACATCTCTCGCTACATATATATATATATATATCGTCGCTATATA